AGTACAGTTGCATGATTTTGAAATTTAATCCGCGTGCATTAGGAAATAAAGGAATGACATCATGTAGTGGCGGCTCGTGATACTTGGCGTGATACTGGTTCGTCTATGGAGGTAGTGCCCTCCCCTGCCTACCCTCTCTCCGTAGTCGAACCGCTAGCGGTAAATATCACGAGCCGCCACTGTACGTCATGTAGAAAACTGGAACTTTGGAAAAATTTTAGTCGCACTTCGAAATCAAAGAGGTAATGAAGTCCTTTCTCGTCATTAGAGGCTGGCCTTATCGTAGCATTGGCCTTCCCTAAAGCATTAATTCAGCTTGGGGATCAATACAGTTATTTCACGACTCTTAATCCCATGTTATGCATCATATTTGGTGAAGTGATAAATTGGGAATTCGAGTTCCCATAGGAATGAGTTCCATTCTATGCGGGGTAGGATGTACATAGAACGGGTCATAAATTGTCACTGGGAAATCAGAACAAGTCGCTTCTGCTCTTTATGCCGCCTCATTCCTAATCCGTTGAAAACCGTGAGTTGGGCTACCCCGAATACCATGTGACCCCAAAAGTTCCAAAATTCAGAAGCCTACTGAGGGAAAACGATAGATGATAACAAAAGGAAGTGTTCATGGGGTAACACAGCACATGTGATACCGCGAAAATTTCAGCAGAATTGATCCTTTTTCAGGAATATTTCGGGAAATGACCTGCACATGTGACACCGAGTAGGGTAATTTGGGGGAATATGACCCCAAAAAATGAAACCTGGTCATAACGGCCCATCAAGGTCGAATTGGACTTTTACAATGTTTCTAAAATACTGATTCATTTCTCCTTCACTAAATCTCAGCAAGGCACATGCAAAAAACTGCATGGATATTGCGCCTTTGGATCTTTTCCAAGTCGTTCCCAAGAGGCTATATTACCCATGTTGGGGGAACATGGCCACTTCTCAAAAAACAATTCAAGGTTTTTCAGGCACATGTGAAATATGCTGGAACATGCTGAGTACCTTAAAACAAAATAAGGGAGGCTCAGCAGTTGAAAAGAAAAGCATTAACTGCATTGAGGACCAGCAAAGAAGTCGAAATCATTACCTGAGGCAAGGATCTGTTGTGGAAAGCAGGATTGAAACGCTTTTAGCTTTGAGTAGCATTGCACGTAATTGGGAGACTGCATCTAGAGACTGTGGGTGTGAGAGGAGTGATCAATCATAAATTAAAGTGAAAATGCATTACAAGAGTAAAAGAAAAGGTCTTAAACTGCAGGAAAAACGTTGCGTTGCGTTGTTTTAGCTTGTGCGCATAAATAGTACAAAAAAATCATAGAATGCCCTTTTAACTTTTTGTACGAGGGATATTTACTTGCATACAAATTTCGTGCTACGAAAATCTCTGGTGTATGTCAATCGGATGTCCAGGAGGCGGTGCAAGAGGATATGCTTATGCACCGTCTCCTCATGTACTGCATATTTCGTCCAGATGTCCAGTACGTCTATCCATATATCCAGAGGAAGTGCATTGAATGATCTCTTGCAGCCTGAGATCCGACATGAAAGGAGGCTGACACTACCAATAGGCCAGCACGGTGCTAACATGAAATGAAGGATGTGTCCATATTACTCCAAATCGAGATGGCCATATTCCCCCATATTGGCTTGCATTAAAAAATTGACAACACTGTCTGCAAACCGCAAGTGAAGGGGCTTGCACTTTGCACGAGCATTCTGGAGGGACCATAGAAGAACTTTGAAGAAATGGTTTCTGTATCCTTGCTGCTATATGGAAATATACGCTTAAGTTGCTTAAGTTTCAGGTCATGAGTCAAAGAATCGCATGCATATGATTTTCAAGACATTGATGTATCCCGAATTCCTGTGAGAACTGGATCAATGAACAGGTCTACACATTTCGACAATTGCATGTGCTCTTCGATAGAACGATTTTTTTAATTCGCCAAAACTAATTATTTAGTCTGTAAGGGGATTCATTGAGGAGGGCCATATTACTTGGGTCTTTTAATTCATAGTAACCAAGTTACTATGAATTAATATATTTCCTAAAGATGCCTTCCATAGAGTTTCATCCGTAATCACGTGAGGTCGGGAACTTCTGGGTCACCTGGTGTCACATCCAATGTGCGTAGATGGTTTTCCGAAAATTTAGTTGAAATTTGTCATTCGAGACTTTATTGGTTCCACGTGGAAGGGATGAGAATATATAAGGGTGCGAAAGGGAGACCCAGTCTGGAATAGATTGTCATAACAGAGAGAATGAAAGAAATAAGAATGATTTAATGTTGGAAGTAAATCTCTGGAGTCAGAATGACTTTACGAGATGTATAGATTAATTTCCCTAGACAGATCGATCGAGGATCTCAAATTAAGTGGAGTAGCTTGAAGTAGGGCCCGGCAAGGTCTCTATTTACGACGCGAATGGAATTTTTCGTATATTTCCTATTCATCCAGTCCAGCCTGTTTACTTATATTTTTCCGATCGATGCGATATTAAAGAAATGATATCCCCCCACACGCAAATGCACAAAATACCTGTTTCTCCATCCTTAGAACCCAGCAATAGACGATAAAAGTCGATTGCCACCGTTTTTTACTTTAAACATCGATCAATAAAACTTTTTCTGCTCCATTATATTCATGGGCAATATACCGAAATTTTACAAGAAAACATTCTCTGCTCTCTCCACTTTTAATTCAAGCCAAAACATTTTCAAGTAAATGCATGAGCAAAGAATACCATGCAAATTTCTCAGAGCTATGCGCGTTAGTTAAAAATTTCCCCGGAAAAACAAACCGGTGAAGGGTTAACCACGGCACTGAAGAACAAGAGGGAATGCAAAAAATGACGAGGTCACTGGAGATGGAGGTTAAGGGCAAGAATGATTAAAAATACATTTTAAAGCTGCTTGCTCCTTCTTGGAAACGTTTGCCAGCAAGCCTTCTCCCTGTGCTGCCTTCTGGTCTGCATTAATAGATTAGATCGTTCCTGGAAGGTCAAGCTCTAGTTATATAGCCCTGCAGGTCGGTTTGGCACTCATGACTGATTTCTGTCTTCTCAATACCTCTTTATATTTTATTTTAATTCATTTCATTCTCTCGCGACCCACTTGGGAGACCATCGCGACCCACTAGTGCAGGGGTCGGGAACCTATGGCTCATGAGCCAAATTTGGCTCACGAACCAAAAAGTTTGGCTCATTGAGCCATGGCTAAAAATCATGGTTGTTTTACATTTTTCTAATGTATCAAAGGATGCACATGTTTGTTGCTAACTTCAGGAAAAATTCGGTTGTTCTGAAAATCTTTCGCTCACAAGCACTTTCCTCAATCTTAATATGGCTCACATGGCCAAAAAGGTTCCCGACCCCTGCACTAGTGGGTCGCGACCCACCGGTTGAGAAGCACTAGAGTAAATCGATTCATGAACTTGGATGTCATGGTCTAGCTTCTCATAAAACTTGTGTTACTTCTGCAAAGTTATGATTCACCTGTTACAGGTCCTCATTGGTTACGGTATCCTCTTACTTCTCGGGGTAATTTTCGGTCGGTCGACCAGAACCTGGAGTGATTGCTACAGTACCAGTTCACTTCCATTTCATTCATCCCCAGTTGACTTTGGGATGGCAGTTAGCGCTAAAACATCACGAGTAGACTACTTATTAATGTGACACCCCATTATCATATCACTTTAGAAGATTGTTAGCTGTGCCCTGAATGAGGGCCTGTGGCAGCTACTCATATATTTAACCTTGTGGAGTACATTTATAGAAATTACACATGCATATTGTCTATACCATCTGGAAGGGGGGTGTCCCAAAATTAATGGGAGGAGAAAATATTTTCTCGAATCCAAAATGTTATTTGTGGAATCGCACAAGAGCATGTCCAAGAGTGCTAAATAGCAATAAAGTATGTACGGCTAATCAGATTATCATTCTCAATGCTGCTTAATTTTTAATAGAATAACGCGACTCCAGGTTCTATGAGGTTCGATATGGGAATGTATTCAATATATATAATGAAGAAGCCGATAGCACGCTCTGAGAACCCTTCTAGAAATGGAAGTGCATTCTTGGAAGCATATGTTTAGCGACCTTGTGCGAGAAGTCATTTCATCGATTTTTCCCACTTCATAAATTATGGGGATGAGAAGGAACTCATTCCTAGAAGTATTCTGCAATGGGATTCATTGACAGGGTATGCTAAATGCATTTTGAAGATTTCTATCATACGTGGCAGGTAGGGAAACTAAAAACCAGTGAAGCCCTTGTGAAGCACCAATGTGCAAGTGTTTCCACCTTCATGCACCTCCATTTTTACGCAATCTGAATATCACAAGTATGGAAGTTTTGTTTTAGGAATTAGACTGGCTATTTGCCTTGGCATGATTTCCTGCTGACCTTGCTTGTGTTATTAGGAACGTAGCCAAGGAGTCGTTTCAAGGGGTAGGGATTTTGGGGTGTGCATGCATTGTGAGGACATGCATTTAAAATATGTTTGACCGCGATAAAAGAGAAGTTCGTTTGAAGATAAGAGACAATTGACATTCAGTATGGAAAATTGCTGCTTTTGAATTCATTGGTGATGTTTTCACAAATAGCCGAATTTGCAATAAATCGAGAACTATGACCATTTCTGGTTCCCCTAAAACCTTTCCTTCCTTTGGCTACATGCATGAATGTTACATGCATTTCGTCCTCATATGTGCAGTATCGTGAAGCACTATATCTAAGAAGAAAGCATTTTCGCATTTCTTTGGAGAAAAGAGGGAAGCGGCTCTTCTACAAGAGAGATAATGGTTTCAATGCAGGAATGCGGCATCTGGCTCACAGCACTCCAAAAGCGGCGGGGGCAAACCTGGATCCAAAGAATTTGGGCTCCTCCTCACTAGCTGACATTTGATAACCACATTGGATCCTTCTTTTTTTGTTTTACCCAGTTGTGCGAGCTAGTGGAATTATCGTATTTGTAATAAGAGGAATGAAATATGAAAGAAAGTCATTTTATAACATGAATCACAGAAATCGATGACTGAATTGAATGAGTTCTTGCGAAGCGAAATCAAAACGGGGGACACCGGATGAATGCCGCGAACGAATAAATTAGACATATAAATAAGTACATGGGTGCATAAATGAATAAATAAACACTTATCAACACGAAGCAACAGGGGAGGGGAAATTTTGCCGTGCCGACAAGAGAGGAACTCGTCAACGAGGATGCACCGAGGAGTGTCATGCACCGAGGAGCGTCACGACATTTTGAGGGATGGATCACACGACACTTTCCGTGTGATCCAGCTGGATCCCGCTACATTTGGATATGGAGGCTTCGAATGTCTGCAGATAATCGGGACCGGCAAAAAACACGCTTCCCGGGGATGATGTCGCAGGATGTTGTTGCTGTTGGTATAGATGGTGTAACATATGATCTTGAGCGGGACTTCGTCCCGACCTCCTCCGGGGCACCGTCAGGTCCGTGTATAGCAACCCTTCTCCCTACAATACACATGCAGAAGCAAAATGAAAATCCATTGTTCAATGCGTGCCAATCATTCCAGTTGGTGCTAATTCTAAAAAGAAGTATTTTCTGTCTTCTAGGTTATTGAAGTTGTCAAGGATACAAAGGATGAATCCAGTCATGAGAAACGTACAGTTCATGGCCGGTATTTGGTCAATTTGACCAAACTCTCAATCAATCGATCCCCCTCCTTGATCAAAGGCACAGTGTGATATTTTGGCGCATTGATCTACTCTCTGCTATGGCCACATTATATCAATGGCATGAATCTGACAAACGACGCCGCGCCCCAAAAGCATATCTCGTAGTTGCTTTGACGTCTGATCGACTGCTTCTTCCTACCTACTTCCTCTAACCATCCCGAGGGTCTAACCCAGGCTCCATGATGCAGTGAAAAAATGTGTGTTGGCGGTGAGCCCATGTATGTGCCCGAAATTGTCTCCTAGGATATTAGGGATTGCTTCCTGCTGGAATTGATTTCCAAAAGTAGACCAAAGCCTTCCCAATTGAGCCTCATCTGACCATATCTAAAGCGGAAACGATGTCACATTAATCGAACCACATAACTTCATGGAGAAAGCAACTCTGGAAAATCCACTAGGAAGTTGGAGGCGTGACAGTTGTGGTCAAGGGATGTATCATTACAATATATTCGCAATTTCGAGCCAATGATTTTTTTTTTGAGCAAATGAAAACTAAAGATTCCAGGAACAAGGAGGGAGAGGGGGGCAACTGACCCGACTCTGGAGAAGACACGATTTAGTCTAGTCACTCGCCTATTGAGGCCTAAAGCACGACATTACTGGGAATCTTCACCGTTCAATTCCTACGGGGCCAGAATAGGCAACCGTGACACTTCTAAATGCACACTGCGGCCAATTTAAAAGAGAATTGGCCTTGAATTGGCCCCATTCGAAAGAGAATTGAATTTTCAATTCATATGGAGACGGAGCGCAGATCCTGGTTCGATCGAAGCAGCGGTACTGATCCTGCGACAACACATCCGGCACATGAAGGAACCACCCCACAACCTCCACAATTCAACGTACTATCTTCGACAGGCAGAAACCTGCACTACAGGTCGGCTCGGCAAATACGTTTTCGATCGACTCAACCCGTCAACTGCCTATACCGGCCTTCTGTCGAATGCACATTTTGAACGGCACGAAAGGTTGGATGGTTAGATGGACCTACCTGAGTGGTGCGGAGCTCTCCGGGAGGCAGGGGCCACTCGGCAGGAGATACCGGAAATCCCGTCGATGCCGAAGCCTCATTCTTGAAGAGAGGAACAGCAGAGAAGCTCCCTTCGTTCCCATCTCCTTGAGGATTGATATCTGCGTCACCGCCACCAGATAAGGGACATGAAAAACGCAAGGAAGTTAGGACAACGCCTCTGTGTAACGTCCACTCGTTCAGATGAGAATACGAGCAATCCGTCTCTCTCCCCGCCTTCTTCCATTTCGTCGGGGCATTGAGCTTCATGAATACAAAGTGAGTTAATCAAAATACGGGTCCATTGCTCTCAAATTTCTGACAAATGCAGATTTCCTTCTGACATGTCCATATGAATATCATATCCTTTCCAGCTCCACTGAGGGAGGTAAAGGATCGATCCGGCTCTATGCTTATTTGGGCTTCCGTAAAATGATGTCTGACACTTCTTGTGTCCTATATTTGCGTTAAGAGCTTGTGAAGTTTGATTGCTTCAATTCAAAGACGGGAAAGAAAACGTTTTCCCACACGAGGCATTTGAGAAACCTTATTTATCACATGCTTACGAAAATTTTTTATGGATTCCTCTCACCCTTACCTATTCTCACCATTTCACCGTCTCACTTTGACGCGGTTTCTGAGGCTGATGGTTAAAGCGTATACTTTTTTATTAATAAAAAAAGAAGCTTCAGCGGTCTGTGGTAACGCTGGTTATTTAATAATCAAAGGCATCCACAAAGTTCGGAGAAGGAGGGGGGCAGGTAAGTCACCGAGATAGTCTCCCCTATAACCTGGTTGGTCCTGGAGTGCTGGGCAATAAATTCTTAGTCACAGATATTGTCGCCACTCCCAAATGGTGGTCACGCTCAGCAGCTGTAATCGGAACCAATCGAGCCTTTCCAAAACTACTACGCAATTACAAGTGATACGTGGGCATAAACTGTGGGGGTGATGAGTTGCGTGGGCGTGGCAAGCATACTGCATTGCGTTTCGAAGCCTGGAAGGCACTATCCTGCCTCTTAATTCAACGTCTTCATCAATCTTTCAATTCAACACCTTCGTGTAAAAATCGTGCAATCCAGTGCCATTTGCATCGTCGTCGGTTAGGGTGTATTTGCGCCTCTTTTTCGTTCCCGCTTTCAGTGTACTGCTATTTTCTCCCCAGTTGATTACTCTGTCATTTGATTGAACATAGTTGAATAAGAGGTTAGAGTCAACAGGCTTGGTTGGTGGTGCCCCTGGGATGAGTGGAGAGAGAGCCCCCTAAGGTAGGGGTTTCCAAGCCATTCATTACCTCCTTTTAGGCTCGTTATACGGGACTAGGTTTTGCCTAGGCTGTTACAATGCAAGTATTTATCTCTTCCTGCATGTCACTCCAAGCCTTCAACCCCATCCAACCCCACCCATCCACCCTCGATGCGTGGCGAACCATGGCCTCCTTATCTGGAACCCCGTGCTTATAAGCACAACAGAGGGCACCATTGTGGTGGCTTATCCTACTCCTTCTACTCCCAATTTAGGGAAGAGATGAGCTGAATGTGATGAGCATTCGTCTCCTCTTTATAGTGGAGAGATGAGATGCTTGACCTGGCTGTGTTCGTGGAGCTATAACTCCACGAACACGGCCAGATCAAGCCAGAAGTACTCTTTCCGGTTCGGAATGTATTGCGGTTCACTGAACCAAAAATAGACATGACCATGAGGGCCATCCAACCCTTTCTCTCGTGCTATATCTATAACAAAACCAGCTGGCATTACTACTCGAAGGCTCCTCTCATGACTGAGACACGTGGACTTGATCTACGCTGCTAGATATGCATCTTTTGGAAGCAGAGGCTTTTTCACATTTCGCCAAACGAACCGTCACAGGAACAAAGGAAACAATCTATTGCAGAGATTATGGCACGAGGATAAAGGATAAAATCTGGCGAATCCCTTCCTCCATAAAAAAAAGGACAATAACCTTTTGTTGCTTCTCAGGAGCGCTCTATGCAAGTTATTTATATTTAGCAGCATTTTCTTCCTTATGACGTACCCATCACATCCATGATGCGATGCGAAATTCCAACACCATGGTTTTGGAATTCCGCATTCCTTTTGGGCAAATTCTGAGGTCATCAATCTTTCTCAGCGGAGTATATTTTACAAGTGATACGACTACATATTTGAGAAGACCGTGAGAAATTTTCACAGCTTCAAGAGTTTGAAACACGGATGTACGAAGTTGCTTCACATGGACTTACTGGAAATGATGTCTGGGTTCTTCTCGTCTGATGGGGGATCGGAATTAAGATTTCTCTTCCCCTCCGAGATCGTGTGTTTGTGTTGGGGCGAGCGAGAGCGAGAGCGACGCTGCCTTCTCCTGAGGACGAGGAAGATGAGAACGATGGCGGTGGTGAGGACGATGGCTCCGATTCCCCCCGCCAAAAGCATGACAAGTGGCGTCAACGCCAGCGTAAGCCCCCGACCTTCCTCTATGTCATGAGTCCCAAAAATATCCGATTAAAATCCAAGAATGCCTAAGAAAAGGGAAGGAAAAGGAATGACGCAAAAACCTTACCTTTGTCCATTTTGTTCTCCATAACGCGTGGAGTCCGTGCTTCCAAGGACGTTATCGGACTCTTCCCCCTCGCGTTCGACGCGTACACGTACACCAATAATGATAGGTCCTCTTCTAGACCTGAATAGGCATGGATAATATAAAAATAACTGGGGAAACGAATAACGATCCCTCCTCTTGCGAGCCATTGTCTTAAGCACGACGAGTCCCAATCTTGTTGAGACTAGATTAAAAAAATTCACTGAGGAAGAAGAATTGCTTGGCAGAGCAATTAAGGCGGGATGAGTATGATTAAGTGGGCGGAGCCATGGAAAGAAGTCTGGCTGGGAGGCGTCTTTGCTCTCATGGAATGAAGAGTCTATATATTCATAACAAAATTATTTTTGCATAAAGCCCATACGAGCAGGAACTCGGTAGACTATGTACTCTTCCTTCACTTCGTCATCCATCCATGAATTTATCAACTATGGAGAAATGGATATCATTCTATGATCGATTTCCTGTCTGCATCATTTCCGTCTGGAGTGGCGCCCACAAAATCCATACAGCCCTTCAATTGACGATGTTCATTCCATTAGTACGTATACCCTAATTATGAAATGATGTTAAAGTCTTCTTCTTTACGTATCCCTGTCACTCTTTATGCCGGAAACAGCTCCTCCAATTAGACTCAAGGACCACTCCACCGTTGAGCTCTGACCTTGTTTAAAAAGGGGTAGATTAATAACCCCGACCTTGGCCAGCAAGCCCTGTTCGTTACGACCTGATACATGTACAATCCCACCAAAGTCACGCAAGTGAGCTCTCACGATGTAAATCGATGAAAAACTCATCTGGATATCTTCTTGCAAAGAGTGATTCTGAACACTGTCTACACGTGTTTTTTTCAGACGATTCAGCACAGGACGGTATAGAGGACAGTGTGGAAAAGTCACTAACTTACGACGCAAGACATTTTACTGATCGCATGACTATCTCATCTCTGGAGAGAGTAGGCGAACTCCTCCCAGTCTCTGATAAAAGCCATCTCCGTAAGCATACTTACTGTGCAGTTCACCGGGTGCAACATCACTATCGACAGGACGTACTTCACTTTCTTATTGAGACCATGCTTATGAAAGATACAACTATGCGAGCATGATGTGAGAAGAGATATGTCGGGAAATAGTTCTAAGAACCCGGCTGCATGACATCATCTCCTTGAAATGTGCATGCAGTTCCCTGTTTGCGCTCTCGCACCAACGACAAAGGGGCGGAAGTCGTAATCCCCAAGGGAGACGAGAGAAGATTTCCTGCCGTCATTCGCTGATGAATTGGCTCTGGTCGGGTCGATATCCAGTGTGGATAAGCTCATATTAAGGGTGAAGCTAAAGTACTCGGATATACAGGGTAGCCCAAAAGAAGTGAAGTGATTTTGTCATCCAATAACTCTTGAATCATTGTGATTAACAAATTTCTCTCCTTTTTTTTTTAGGTCGTAGGGGTATAGTTCAAGAATTATGATGAACCGTTGGACGGAGCAAGAACGTGCTGGTGTTGTGGAACTATACTTTTCAAATGGTCATTCTATATTTCGAGTTCAGAGGGATTCCCGTAGGGAATTGGCGTTCAGCATGTGCCTTCTGGCAATGCTTTAGAAGATGGGTGTCCGATTTTCGTGCAAAAGGGACTGTAGCTGATTCATCACGATTAGAAAGGCCACGAACCAGCAGGACACCGGAACACATTAATCAAGTTCGTGGAAGCACTGTGATTTCTCCCAATAAATCTACGCAAAAACTGTCTCAAGAGTTAAGAATCCCCCAAGCCTCTGTGCAACCCATTTTATCAAAAGATCTCCGATCCTATCCTTACAAAATCCAGCTGGTGCAAGAATTACAGACAGTCGAAAAAGAAAGTCGTAAATCCTTTTCAGAAAAATCGTTGGAATTGGCAGAGGAAGAAGAAACACTTTCTGAAAAGCTAGTGATGAGTGATGAGTGAAGAAGAGAAGAAGACACTTCTACAGGGTGGCCCAAAAAAAAGTGCACCTATTTTCAAATGGCATTTTCTCGAAAACTATTTGTTAGCGACTTGAAAGAAAAAGCAAACGAAAGTTCAATTAATTTCCTATCGAATGGTATATGGTTTTATGACCATAGCTCCCATACCATGGCTGCCATGCCCATTTTTAAAAAACATACCACCAAAAAAAGTTGCGCGCATACATTTGTACGTGCTAGTTTGGCATTCGGCATTGGCGTCGCCTTTTTTCCTCCATTTCATAGCATACTCGCTCAGTTTCTTTTATTTTTATTTTCAACCGGTGTTTCGCACTCCATCAAGCATGAGACCAGCATAGGGAAAGAGGTGATTCTTCGGACCTCCCAAGTTGATTCCTGACCGGTCGATAGCGCCTCACAGGCGAACGGCTCGACATTACTGGTTTTCCCTTCATCCACACAACACCGCTTCGTGTATGAAATTAATTTATCGATTTACCCTTTCAGGACAGTGAAAATGAGTGTTTATCGCATTTTAACTAGGGCTGTCACGATAGCAGTTTTCAAAACATCGATGCATCGACCTAAATTATCGATAGTGTNGACCTGATACATGTACAATCCCACCAAAGTCACGCAAGTGAGCTCTCACGATGTAAATCGATGAAAAACTCATCTGGATATCTTCTTGCAAAGAGTGATTCTGAACACTGTCTACACGTGTTTTTTTTTCAGACGATTCAGCACAGGACGGTATAGAGGACAGTGTGGAAAAGTCACTAACTTACGACGCAAGACATTTTGCTGATCGCATGACTATCTCATCTCTGGAGAGAGTAGGCGAACTCCTCCCAGTCTGATAAAAGCCATCTCCGTAGGCATACTTACTGTGCAGTTCTCCGGGTGCAACATCACTATCGACAGGACGTACTTCACTTTCTTATTGAGACCATGCTTATGAAAGGTACAACTATGCGAGCATGATGTGAGAATAGATATGTCGGGGAATAGTTCTAAGAACCCGGCTGCATGACATCATCTCCTTGAAATGTGCATGCAGTTCCCTGTTTGCGCTCTCGCACCAACGACAAAGGGGCGGAAGTCGTAATCCCCAAGGGAGACGAGAGAAGATTTCCTGCCGTCATTCGCTGATGAATTGGCTCTGGTCGGGTCGATATCCAGTGTGCATAAGCTCATATTAAGGGTGAAGCTAAAGTACTCGGATATACAGGGTGGCCCAAAAGAAGTGAAGTGATTTTGTCATCCAATAACTCTTGAATCATTGTGATTAACAAATTTCTCTCCTTTTTTTTTTAGGTCGTAGGGGTATAGTTCAAGAATTATGATGAACCGTTGGACGGAGCAAGAACGTGCTGGTGTTGTGGAACTATACTTTTCAAATGGTCATTCTATATTTCGAGTTCAGAGGGATTCCCGTAGGGAATTGGCGTTCAGCATGTGCCTTCTGGCAATGCTTTAGAAGATGGGTGTCCGATTTTCGTGCAAAAGGGACTGTAGCTGATTCATCACGATTAGAAAGGCCACGAACCAGCAGGACACCGGAACACATTAATCAAGTTCGTGGAAGCACTGTGATTTCTCCCAATAAATCTACGCAAAAACTGTCTCAAGAGTTAAGAATCCCCCAAGCCTCTGTGCAACCCATTTTATCAAAAGATCTCCGATCCTATCCTTACAAAATCCAGCTGGTGCAAGAATTACAGACAGTCGAAAAAGAAAGTCGTAAATCCTTTTCAGAAAAATCGTTGGAATTGGCAGAGGAAGAAGAAACACTTTCTGAAAAGCTAGTGATGAGTGATGAGTGAAGAAGAGAAGAAGACACTTCTACAGGGTGGCCCAAAAAAAAGTGCACCTATTTTCAAATGGCATTTTCTCGAAAACTATTTGTTAGCGACTTGAAAGAAAAAGCAAACGAAAGTTCAATTAATTTCCTATCGAATGGTATATGGTTTTATGACCATAGCTCCCATACCATGGCTGCCATGCCCATTTTTAAAAAACATACCACCAAAAAAAGAGAAAACACTTTACTGAGTCAGTCATGGTCTCACTTGGAGCCTCATCTCATGGCAAAACTTCCATTCTATTCATTCCTAGAGGAGTTAAAATCAATGCTGAAAGTTATTGCAGTGATGTCCTGATGCCCATGCTGGCAGAGATCGAGGACAAAAGCCCCAATGGCTACGTGTTTATGCAAGATGGGGCGCCAGCCCATACAGCTCAACACACCATCACTTTCTTGAGGAACACCTGCCCTGATTTCATTGAACCAGGCTCTTGACCACCCTGCAGTCCTGACCTCAACCCAGTCGACTACTTTGTGTGGTCAGCTTTGGAGCAGAAAGTGTACCGGGGTGTAAGAATCCGAGACGTCGAACAGTTGAAGGAGCGAATTCGCATGGCTTGGGATGAACTCTCGCAGAGCTCCACCGCCAAGGCCATTTCCAAGTGGAGAGGCAGAATGAGAGCAGTGGTTGATCATGGTGGAGGCCACATCGAGCCATTCATTGAAAATTAAAGCCAAAGGTAAGTCTTCATGTTTTTGAACTCTTGCAATGCGAAGACACGATGAAATTTCTAATTTTTCTCGCCGCGCAACTTTTTGTGGTGGTATGTTTTTTTTTTTTTTTAAATGGGCATGGCAGCCATGGTATGGGAGCTAAGGTCATAAAAACATATACCATTCGATAGGAAATTAATTGAACTTTCGTTTGCTTTTTCTTTCAAGTTGCTAGCATAAATAGTTTTCGAGAAAATGCCATTTGAAAATAGGTGCACTTTTTTTGGGCCACCCTGTATGTGGTTACAGCAGGATGGGGCTACTAGTCTCACTGCGAGAGAGAGCATGGCGCTATTGCGAAACTTGTTCCCAGGCAGACCTTTCTCACGTGGGTGGGGGGGGACATAAACTGGTCTCCAAGATCGCTTGATCTTTCGGCCCCTGATTTTTTACTTCGGGGATATTTAAAGAAACCTGTTAATGCTAACTAACCCCGAACACTTCAAGCTCTGAAAGACAACATAACGCAGTGACATTCCTGGTGATGTGCTGCAAAAAGTAATGTGAAGAGTCACTTTCAGAGCAAGGGTGTGGATGATAGAGGCGACTATCTGAAATATATTATTTTTAATGTCTAAATTTCAGAGTATAGATTAAAATTCCTATTTGTACCTTTTTCTCTCATCAATATATTCAGTAATATTTACCTATCAAATCGCTTCACTTCTTTTGGGATACCCTGTAAAAGCATATCCTCCTCTCTGTGGATCTTCTACCCCCCCCCCCCTCCTCCCCACTTTTTTCTCATTATTTTGTCCATGGCCTTACACACGGTCCCCATCACCCATCCGTATCACCCAAAACCCATCACATGCATCTCTATGCCCAATTAAGGCTCGTGTAGGGGATATGCAAAGAAAGAGAAAAGCCTAGAAGACCTTTGACGGTGAAGCGAGGGATGGGAGTGGTGCGATTGGCCTTTAGCTCCATGGTATCAGAATCGAAGACGTCCATATGGAAGAACTGCTTGAGGCCCCCATCGAATCCTGGCAAGCATTCCACGTAAAATGTGTTGTCTGTCTGATTCTGGATCGAACAATTGCTCACGGGATCCGGATGACCTGAAAAAAAGCAGAAAACATCTTCACTAACAAGGAATTACAACGATGCGATGCTCAAGAGATAGTAGTCCTCGGATCCCTTGCTTTTCGGATCGATTTGTCGATGTGAAATCGCAAAAAAAGCAATCGCAAAGGTCCAAGTGCATTAGTGCATTAACATCATAAGGTAACTTCTGAAACTGGAAAATGTGCGATTTTATTATGTGCTTTACCGGCTTCGACGACGTGGAAGGTGCAGGGGACTTGTTGATTTCCGACGGGATTGGAAGCCCAGCAGACGACGGTCCCGAAGTCCATCGGAGTCCTTGGAGTGTAGATCAAGGTGCTCCGAGTCCCAGCACTCCAATAGTCCTGAGCCGGGAATTCCGTGAGTTGGGCGGATGAGGAATTGAACCTCCAATGGAAACGGACCGTATCCGGATTGGCTTCCACGTCGCACGTTATGTTGATCCTCTCGTAAGGGGCCACGCCGTAAATGCTCGCTTGCTGGGGCTTGCACTCCGGTGCATCTGTGACGAAAATGATTTCTATACATACGAAGTACAACATCGAGTCGCTCGATGCAAAGAGCTGAGTCTGCATGCGATAGAGAAAGATCCCTCTTCAATAACGAAGGGTCTCGATTCTCAGCAGGCAGTATATTACATCGGAATATCTTCCATGGCTTTGAAAAGGTTTGAAGACCTGAAGGGATAGAAAGCGAATTTTGCCTCGAGGAAATGCTGCGAAATCGTCTCTTCGCTGACTCCAATTGTCAAAAATGGTTTTGGACTCCATTTAGACTCAAGAAAAATCTGATTTAGGTTTTCGACTAAAGGAACATAAACAATTACCCGGTCTAAGTATACTTTTCGATCATGATCGAAATATCATGATAACTCGATCAAGATAACTCGATTTTGGTCTAAGTATCGAACCCAAATATCATAACTCGATCATCATAACTTCGATGATAACTGACGTCACGCTGCCATAGGCCCCCCTGTCGTCTGTCATCAAGGATGGTTCCTTACCAAACTTCTAATAATCCCATGTATCTTTCACGTGGACAGTTGTTCCATTGTATATTTCTAACTTTCTAACTTAACCACCTCGACTTTTTGGAGACATGGCGCAGCAATTACCGACGGAGACCTCGCGTCTTTCTTGTGAACAAGGATTGGAAGATGGAAGAGAATTGTGACGGTCCTAGGCCTTGCGTAAGGCGTTTTTTCTCGATTGATGAAACAACAGCTCTCATTAGAATATGGGGTGAAGAGCGTACCCAAGCATTTTTCGTAACTGGGAAAGTGAGGAAGAAAGCCATCCGATTTTTGGTTGTGATGGCCAGGAAAAGGGCTGGAGATGACTGGATTCGTCCGTGGTAAAGTTAGATATCGCTCTCAATGATAATTTCGGTCTAAGTATGAAATTTCGATCAGTTATAGGGGTCCTGGAGGGCTATCGAGTTATGATGATCGAGCTATCAGTTATGTGGGTCTAAGTATGGTTTTCGATCATAATCGAGTTATTATGATATTTCGATCATGATCGAAAAGTATACTTCGACCAGGTAAATCTCAGTTAATGCCATAATCCTATTTTCCCTATCCGAAGAAATTGATTTAAAGTCTCATACTAAATGGAACATGAGAGTACGAGAGAGTAACTTACCTCAAAATTTTCGTTTGGGAATAATTTTAAAACCTGGCATTATTCGAAGATAAGAATTCAGGCATTACGAATGCATTTTCGCAAGGGTTCATTGAACGACTGAAGATGGAAAGGAAGTATTGCAACTCTCGTCGATATTTTACTGTCCCGTTAGGAGTCCATTCGTGTTAATGCTGCGTGATATCCACTAAGTGCAATGGACTTACGAATGCTCAAGACGCACCTGCTTTGCATGTAGAATTCTACCATATGGGCGATGAGGAGGTGAGCATTGATTCTCGGCGAGGTTAGGATCAAGGGGGAAAAGGAAATGTTCCTCTTTTTCACACATGTGAATGGGTCCCAGACACGAAAGATCTCCCCCAGCAGTAGCATAATGCAGACTTCTCCCCCCGCCCCCCCTCCTCTCTCTGTCATCCGTATTAGTATACAAGCAGAATGTCGATGTCCATCATTAGGAAAGAGGAAGGAGAGGTCTTTTTCCTTCCCGGTCATAATAAGGATTTTGTCGACCCCGTCTCTGTCGTTCCGTGTGTCCATATTATCCTTGAGCCTGGGTCGCGTGACTGTCCCTTCCATTTCTCCAATGAAGCAAAGAAATCACGAACTCATTCCTCATTCATTCTCCCACCCTTATTCACTGTTTCTCCATCTCCTATGCCTTTTCCTCATTTGTGACTGCAATTACTCTCTCCCCTACCTCCTGCGAGATCCGGGTTGTATAACGTTAGTCAAATTTATGTACCCATTATGTACTCAACCTATAGAGCAGCCACGGAAGGTTGTTGAATAAATGGTGGTCTTGAAATCAGTGGTGCAGGTCCAATAGATAAAATGAATAAATAAATTTGACAAACCCTCATTCAAGCTAAATGGAGAATCGAGCACTTCGTGCAGCGTGTAAGCAAAGGTGGTGGTGGTGGAGGTACTGAGAACGTCAGGAAGGAAATAACGGAATTTGGCATATCTGCTTGGGGTAGCCGACAGGGAAGACATTTGTAGTCATGCCGTAAAATATGACACTCGTAAGGAGGGTCAGTGGGTCAAAAAAAGTGGGTAATTTTTATCACTCCACAGCACTGGTCCCCAAGAGTTAGCCAAAATTGCAATAGCACCTACGTAACGAACATTCATTCAGCTTTCCAATGATTTCAACAGAATAAAGTTTCGTGGCATAACTTCCATGCAGTTAAATGAAGAGTATAAGAGGTGGCGCTGGAAATGTGAAAAACACCTTGACAAGATTGAAAATGTGCAAGCGAAGGAATGGACGTCACCTGGAGCACAACTTGCAGGATATTGGTAAATGCACTTTTCAAGCGCTACCTCTGTTTCTCTGTGCATAGCTGCATCGGAATGACGGAATGGATCTTTAATCTTTTGACAGCAGTGGAAAGCGAGACAAATGTTCTTTATAGAGGTGCTATTGCAATATTTTAAAATTCGCAAGAAACTATGCTGTGAAGATTAAAGATAAAATAAATTTTTTGGCCCACCCTGTACATATTGCGCCTTTAAAATAGGGGCATTATTGATAGAGTTCGAGGAAAAAAGAAAAGAGGCTAAGTGCTTGTCGCCTTCCTTTATCATGAATCTCTTTCATCGTAATGTAGCCACTTCGACTGACCGATCACACTGACTCCTACATACTATATGAAAACTCAATTACAGTGCGACCTTCCAGCTCTTACTTCTTTCGACGGATCACGAAGTATTGCGGATACAAGGCTCCACGATACCATTCTGAGACCCTCCTGCTTGAACCACTGGCTATCATCGTCGAAGACAGATCGGTGGAGAGCTACAGAATTTGACTCACGTTGAACTTGGAGCGAAAGAGGAGAGCTGTTCGAGCGGCCAAGAGAATTCTCAGCCAGACATTCGTACTTCCCAGCATGACGACGTTGGATCCCTCGAATTACTAAGGTCGATTCCGTCACAATCACCCCCATTTTCGGATCGTGCGACAACTCCTTTCCCTACAGAAACACGGCTAGAATCATTTCCATTCCAATCCACATCCAGCAGAATCTCCATGATTCATTCATTTTGTACAAGTGGGTATGAGAGTCCTCTTCACGCTATATCCAATTAATTAATCAGTCACATGTCGTGGAATAATTAGTTCTGGGATATCATAAGAAATGAAAGAATGAGAATGAAGTGGATATTGACATGGACCCACGTGTCAACACGAATCATCTGGCCGCCTATTAAATTTGCTTCGTTTAAAAAAGGATTTGCCTGAGGGAGATATCCTCTCTCTTCCAAACGAAAATGTCAACCATCGCATGCAGATTTTCTTCAGACGTCATTCCATTAATTCATAATAGAAGAGGTGCCTTTTGCATCTCTTTGGAAATTCCTTAAATCCCATCGAGGAAAGAGCTTTTACTTACGTCATGGAGCCACTTGAGGCTGTGAAACTTGGGATTTGCGTCCACGTTGCATTCGAAATAGACGTCATCACCGACCTTGATCCATTCGGGGTTGAGGTTGGCACCGAATCGGACATTCACGGCCGGTGGATCTGTACAAAGGAGACGCAAAAAGCAATGAAAAGAAATCGACGGAAGGGATAAACCGAGGTACACAAGGGGGGAGGGGGAAAGACGTCCTCGGGGGGTATTAATAATGCCTTTTCACGTGCCTGGATCGATATAATATCTGTCCTTCGCCTGGGTAAACTAGGTCGTTTGTTTGCCGAACGAGTCGCACTCTCTCTCCACCATATAATATATATCCGGGTGGAGAAAGAGTAGGAGGGGAGAGAGAGAGAAAGATACTTGTATACGGCGTATATACGTGGTATATAGCGACGAGTGGTCTAGAGGATATTGGATGAACCTCTGCAGAAAGAGACAAGACTCATGCTCAAAGAAATCTCCTTTTAATTTTTCATTTTCCTCGCATATTTCCCTTGGGACCCCTGGGGCATGCATGAACGACCCCATTCAAGATCGTATTCGATTCCAAAGCAGCAAAGAATATTCTTCTTGAACTAAGGATAATTGGGTTGCAGACACAGAGACCCTAAAGCCATGACTCATTTAATTTTTTTTTTTGCTCTTGCGAAAGAGTAGGAAAAAGTAGCTCAAACAATAGAGCTTTAGCGGCAATTAGTATCTCGATGCAATATGATAAGAGGTTACGATAATATTGTCTAGTGATTGACCCTTTGGAACCGAGAGGGACAAAATCAAACTTCGTTTGTCCCAGAAAATGGCGTGGAAGACTTTCTCATTGGGAGTAACTTGACGAAATTTCTTGGTGGAGGGAATTCACCATGTTTCAAGTGCTTCGCCTGTCTCTTCGTCTCGGGATCGAAGAGGAGGGTCCAGCACTCATCCATCCTGATGATACGATCTTTGAAATTCGCTGAATTTGCCACATTTTGTGTCAGCATGGAACGAAAGACGTCCAAACGACTCAACTTTTTCTTTGTCAAGCGTGCGTGGTATCCATCGAGCACTGACTGCTCATGTGCAGTTCATCAGACAAAATCCGCTCTACTGTGCCATGAGATAGTCCTAGCCTCGAGGCAATTTCATCCAATCAAATGCATGTCTTCCATGATCATGGTTTCCACAAGCCCGGTTACGGTTACAGAAGTTACGGTTTTTGACCATTCAGATCGGGTTGCGTCTATGGTGTATTCGCCAGCAAATTCTTGCAGCCACAAACGAAGGGTGTTGCCAGTAAGGTAGTTATCCGCATACACTTCCCTCAGCTGTCGATAAATGTCAACGGGTTTTCTACTCGTGTCGCAATAAATTTCACCAAACCTCTTTGCTCCTTTGGTGTGAAATTCATATTTTAACCCAGGCTAGAAAAATAAATCTTCCTAAGATTCTCTTTGCGTCCTTCGTCCATACAGCTCTCTGCTCAGAGGTCAGACTTAACCTGCGGTTGGGAAGCATTGTCATTGGCTATTTCTTTATCATTCTTTTTTTCTTACGTCAAGTGCTGCAATTCTAGCGCGACTCTTCCCTTTCTCGCATCATCCTTCGTCGCAAATTCCACTAATTCCGGACCGATATCCTCGACAATAAGCACCCAGCTTAAGCTTCGTCATCGCTAGAATTTCTTCCTGTAATTACAGTTACTTCCAAGTAAGACTTACAAGTGACGTGAAGGATGGCAGAAGCGTGAACATCGGGGACAGCACTCATCTTGGGATTGTGAGCCCGACAGTCCAGGCTTTTCCCGTGGTCCTCTCGATTCACTGTCAATGTCAACACACTCTTCGTCACGTTCCCATCGCTCTCCGTCTGCCAAAGTGAAGAGAGAAGATAAGACAATTTTTCCTCACAGGCATGGGAGAGGAAGGCATTCTCTTGTGTCTTTGCAAAGATTTCCATATTTCTTTTTTCTTTCTGAGCTCTAATCCCCCGCAATGCTGGAACTTTTTTCATCCATAATAATAGCCTTTTCTCATCCATAATAACTTACAGTTGGCCGATCTGTTATTAATTTTCAGATGCCGCTTCATCACACGGCTGGATTCATTGATGTTGATGCATGGCCTCACCGAATTATGGAAGAACATGTATTCTTACCCCCCGATATACCCAGTACGAAGCGTGTACATTTTCATGGTACAACAATCTCAGAAAAAGTGTAGGGGAAACGATGAAGACACATTCGGAAATAGTTTTCGGTTAATAATAATTCCTCTTCGTGGCGATTATAGATTCCTAACAGGACAACAATCTTGGCACATCAAATAATAATCGTCTCTTCAGCATTGGATGGAATCTGATGAGAGACGGCAGCAGGAAACAAAGGACTTTTTTTATAGAGAAAATCCAGGGTCTGCAAAGGGGTAGACCAGAAATTCCTTCGCTCTCCTATACAGTCATGCAGGATAAATGGGAACGGAGGCAACCACCTTGGAGACGACAGGTGAAATTGGGAAGGAGGAGGAAGAGGGCTCCCGTGCATGGAAAATGCACGGTTTGGAGTAAGAAATCGATATTAGAAGGGAAAAGAATGCCTTGCGAGGGATTTATCAGTGACTGTTGGCCCGGTCCCCATGCGACGCCCTGCACCTGCTCCTATACCCCCTATACCCCCCACGTATTTCGCATGACAGCCGACGTCCACGGCAAATCATTGTAAGAACAGAGGGGACCATAAGCCCGAGCCCAACTTCGATTCCTTTCTTTCCCTGCCCTTCTGCTAGTCCATCGATTCTCATGCATATTGCATCGCCCGAGTTTATATCCTCGTGCATCCAGCCCTTGACGATAGAATCAATCCCAAATCTTTTCGCTTTGGTAATTCATCACAACAACGATGGATTATTCCAATATTATTTAATGGCGGCGAATCTAATGCAAAGGGGACACGTGTTGTTCCTCCGTTAAATCAAGTTAGGCTGTTCGAAGACCAGCAGGGTGCTCTTGATCCCTCGTGTTCCAACGTTTCCGGCCTTTCACATACCCCATATGAGATGCATCAAGAACTCAGTGAAGTGTGGATGCGCTTATAGAATTAGGCGTGATGGAACACCCTTTCTTCCATGTGATGGATGAGAGAGTTAGAGATGCCTCAGGCCATGGTTTATGCATGGCGTAATTATACATACTTTCATCCTTTGAAACGTGGTTCTGTAAAGATAACCCAGCTCCAACAGAATGAAAAAAGAAGGTTCCTCTGGAGCAAGAGCCTGATGAATCATTGATGATCGGATTATGGTCTTTTTCCATGTGTTTCGTGAAGACCCAGGATAGGCAGAGAGGCGCTTCGGATGTCTGGGTTCGCAAAGTCAAACAAGAAAGAAGAAAAGACGGTCGGGGATTATGCATGACTGTTGTCTTCGGCAGATACGCATTTACTATACTTGCATTGAAGTTACTCGCATAAGCGATCGTTCTCAACGACAATTGTCTGTGAGGGTGCTTCCATGAAATAGGAGTCTTGTTTTTGCAAAAAAAGCTCAGACACAACCTCATATGCAAACCAAAAAAAGAACTCCCAGACCAGTACGACGAGAGGGTGACCGAAGACGCCCACATTACATAAACTGTTCGTGGCCACTAATATCAGAAAAGATAAAACGGAAGATACCAGTACAAAACGATGGTTCTGGACAACGTGTAAAGCCGCATTTGGCGTCGCATCCAATGAACGAAGTAAGAAATTTCCTCCTTGTCTTCTCGGCCGATCCCAAGGCCCCTTAAGCCACTCATGCATTATTCCATGGGAATAAGGGAAGGAGACGAGGCCGGGGAAATAAGAGGAGGAATAAGAGAGAGGGAGAGAGAAAGAAAAAAAAAGACACGACGAAACTTCCCCTTCAGCCTCTTTCTTTCTCATATTTCTAGCTCCTAATGGGCAAGATGGGGAAGATAGAGCACGCATGGAATATGCCCCCAGCACGGATATATGAATGATAGAGAATATTATATGAGCATCACATGCCTTTGACTCGGCGGAACTTCCACCAGAACTAGGGCCATGCAATGCACAGTTTTATATCTTCCGATGCGGCTGATGACAGCTCCTAATAGCAGAAGTAGTTTGATAATCTATCCATGAAATCAACTCGAGTCCTTCGAAGATGGATTCTTCCTTCAGATGCAACACCACGCTTTCCTTATCGTCTTCTTCCTCTAATAAGGGAAGAACTTGTCAGGAGGATTTGCTTTCATTCAGGAATACATTCGCGAAAATGTATCAATTGATTTGAATCGACAGATCCAACGGAATTTCGTCAAGGATCAAATATGTGGAGAGAGTGAGAAACGAAATCCAATTACGAATGAAGCAACAGTGGGATGTTTACCCCTCTCTCCTCGATTAATTCTCCGCTCGTTCTACATTCCATATGTCTTTACAATCGATATGAGGCATGGGTGGCAAGGAAGAGTCGTGGAGAGAGAAGTGCGTGCATTGTGCAAGGAGAGACGCTTGTCCTTCATGGCAAAATGGACGTGGGTTGTTTGTAAATTGAGGCCAGACTAGAAATGGAATGTCGGGGATTCCAGTCATGCCCCTCACAATCCTGACTTATTTCCGATTCCTTCTGTCTCGTTCCCGAAAAATGCGAAGGGGAAACAGGATTGCAGATGGCAAATGACTTCCGGTATCCCCTCGCGATTTGAGTACTCGACCGGAATGACTTCTGCAAGTGAACACGGAGGAACTCCATAACTCTACTTCAGTATGGACTAATCTGCTTCATCTTGGAAGAAAAGAGTAAGTTGGCCCTAGTCTGTTACGACAATTTCTTTCCAAATGACAGGGTGGTTTGGAATAAAAAGAAGAGCACATTACTCCCATGCACATAACTCCCATTCTGTATGTCAAAAAGAAAGAAATATTCCCCAACAAAAGCAAGTCTTTCTGCGATAAATCAGGACTTGGCATTGTATACGAGACGTCTGGAATAACGGTTTCGAGACTTTTTCATGCTTTTCCATGTTATTAGACTGCCACGTTTCTCTCGTCGACTACGTTCTATTTTCACCCAGTAGATGCAATATTTTTCTTGGTGAAGGCTTTCTGAGATTCTTGATAAAATCAGCTTCTGGATTGGCAAGGGTGAAGGATTGCGCAGGGGATATGAACGCTGAAGTGGTGATGTATTGTGGGGATCAAGCTTGGGAGGTACCTATCGAAGGAAAATCTATATCCCCCAGGAGAGGGGAATATCTCGAGCCTGAATTTCTTTCTGGCAAGGAAGCAGGAAGGGCTTGCGGGCGATTGGCCACATAGGCTGAGAATTAATAGCATCCCTCGTCCAGATATCAACAGTTCCGGTCACATCATTCACCCGAATTCTTCAGCCTTTCCTCCTTCATTTCCTCTTCCGGTCTCTTTCCAAATCCATTATTATCGATTCCGTCGTGTCTCGGCTCTCATCCTGGAACGAAACCGGAGGAAAGGGAGGGAAGGGTCCATCCATACGCAAGCTATATATCCAGGTACGGCCCACAGAGTGAAGAGAGACCATTGACTGCATAAGCGTTTCCCCTTGTCAGGAATGGCCAGAAATGATAGGTTCCCTCACAATGGCCTCTTGCGTGATCCGAACCTCCAACGTCCCTCTCGTCACGCAACGGCCGAACACAATGCTCCTCCTTCTTAAATCCCATTAAACAATGCAGTCCCGGCTGAATCGAAAGAAACGAGGAAAGAGGGGAGAGACAAGAAAAGAAAACAAAAAATCGGGGGAAGTGGACAGGCAATTGAGGGCTCGAGGATATTCCGCTCGAGTTCGCTCCACTTAACAAAGTTGGAGTCCTCTTTGATTGGCCATGTCCACGACTTCTTCCTTTTTTTTATATTGAACCGTCCCTTCCTCTCATCCAGAATGATCTCTTTTTTCCCCTGACAGGATCTCCATCTTGTCTCAACTGCACCCAGACAAGCCAAGGGGGTGGGGGATATATTGCAAATGGACATGAAGAGTTCCTCGGACCATATGTCCCTCGCATTCTCCCACTCCTCTAAATTATTCCTTTTACTTTTCTCTCTCTCTCGACCTCTCTCCTCCCTTCTAAAGAAGAGAGGAGAAAGGTCGAGATGTCCATACTGGATTAGGCGGATTCCAAAAAATCCCGAAGAGAATGATGTAAATAACGAGAATGCCGGATATTCATCGATGATACACATGCACAAAATATACTTTTGCGTTATATGCAGAATATAATCTGGGAGTGCTTGCTGAAACTCATGGAAACTCATGAAATTGGACGCTGATTAGATTAAATCCGATTCGACGTAGTTGGTTTTTTTCGAAGAGGAAAAATAGAGCCTCTATCAAGAGGCTCCATTTTCCGCTTTGAAGAAAATCCATGAAAGGATCCAAGGACACGAGACTCAGGTGAGTCCCGGGCCCATATAATTGAAACGGACTGATGGAAAAGTTTTCTCTCTCACTCATAGAAGAGTTGATGCGCAGGGAACACCAGGGGAGTAGGCAGGAAAAGAGAGGGAAAGACAGACAAGTGTGAAGGCATAGGACTCCCCATTTCAAGATTCACTGACTCGAGTCCCGTTAAATCTGCAGATTGCAATCACATGAACGAGCATAATAGAGCTCGATTCCTGTTGAAAAGTGTACTTCTGCAGGGCTTTCAATGAGGATGAGCAGCAGAAAAAGAAGCGAGCAAATAAAAGAAAGAAGTAATTTTTTTCAGATTCGCGAAGCGTGATCCAAGATGGGCATAAATAAAATTCTCAGAAATTGGATGGACCTTTCCGACATTGTTGGAGCAAACGCGCTCGATTGCTTGAAGCGGTCCAGCCCATGCGTGCAGGT